GTCCCAGATGCACAGAATGCTTTTTAAGTAATGGGTTCTTATCAATTTGCAGTGAAGAACAGCAGTGTTCCCTGGCTCCAGCACCTCTGGCAAAGGCAGACCTGTTACCAGCAAGAAATGGGTATAAATGCCAGAGGAGGAAATGGAGGGTGGGGAGAGGGAAAGCAAGTGCCAATGCAAATGTAGTTTTGACTTCAGGCCTGTTGTCCAGGGTGTAAGCTGTGGGGCAGTAGATGAAAAAAGGATGAGGCAGGATTGGAGCAGAAAGGAAGAGGAATCTAAGCAGTGTTGAAACACTCATGGAAACAGGTAGGCAAGTGTGAGCGATCAAACTAATTCTACTCAGAGACAGCAGTAAATATGCAAGCTGTGCAGCTCTGCCACAGTAGCACAACCAGTACAGAGCTTATATTTGCAGATCTAAAACTTACGATTGCCTTCTGGTTCCCACACAAAGCACCTGGCCAACAAACAGGCAACAAATACTATGCTCCTCTTACAGACACAGAAAGCCAGCAATTTTTATGTTGTCCACACAATGTGTTTTGAGAAGAAAACAAGGTGACTATTAAGTTGGCACTTGATAGGAGAAAGCAAATGGCTTCTACTGCCTCTGCACACAGAATAGCCAAAGTGTCCAGACCTGTTTAAAAATTCCTCATTGCTTCAGAGATATGGATGACTTGCATCACTCTTCCTGGTATGATGTACTATTAGCACTTGATGCTCATCTGAAAGCAACAGATAAATGCTCACTGGAAATTCACCATACGGTGTAGGATAAACCATCTCAAAAAAAAATTACTAGCTCACTGTTAATATTTATTCACAACTTAAAATTGAGAGAAGGGTTTAGCACCCTTTCTTCTGCAAGTGAGTGAGATGAATTCATCAGTGCTACCAAAACTGCCATACCCAAGTTAAGAGCAGCCTGGAATAGCCCAAGACAGAGGTTTCATCCGAACTCACAGAGGTCACAGCACTGGAAACTCCTTGAGAGATGGGGGATGAGGAGGCAGAGACTTCCCACTGAGTATCAAACAAGTCTACTAATCAAAACAGGGGACTCTATTCCAAACCTGAGCAGATGGCATCCCTAGGATTATCAGCAGCAGCTGTCAATGCAGTGATTATACATTGAAATTGCACAGCTAATATACTGTATAATTTAACTAGACTGAAGAAGAAGATTAGGAAGAGGGAACATTATGAAAAGATTTGGAGCTTGTATTTTCGTAATAATTATGGAGGCACCCCACAATCTTCAGTGCAAAAGATACATTTAGATTTGCTCTTGAAGGCTAGACTAAAACCCACGCTATACACTTCAACATCTTCCAATTCAAATATGCTCAGAGACTTCCTGGGCCAATCCAGTCCTCTGCAGTGCTTCATTTTTCAAAGACTGAACTATTTTGTCAGAGGAAACACTTAATTAGCTCTTTCAGCACTCCTCCTAATACACATTGACGGAGCTAGGAGACAGGGGACAACAGTTTTTAATGTGAAAAAATTTAACCGTTTAAACAATGGGGAAATTCCAAATAAATATGTTTTTCTATATGCACGCAGCATTCCTTTGTTTTGGAGAGCCAGAAAATGCAGGATTTTCAGCACAAGAACATAAGAATATTTATATATGAAAGGAAAAAAAAAATCCACATGGGATTTCCTTCACTGACTCAGGTTTTCTTTTAAATTATTCTGCACATGCATGAAAGTGTTACAGATTTTTCTGGTCCTATAAATTTTAAAGCCTAAGAAAATGCACCAGGAAGTATCTCTTTCAGTTTTAAGGACCACATTTACAGTTAATCTGGTGCAGCAACACAACAGTGATATGAGCACCTCTGATTTACACTGCCTGAAGACCTAGCCGGTTATTTTTTTATGTTTATAGAAGCACTCAGTGAGATATTTTTAGACCAATCTTTTGTGTTAACATTCTCTGCATAATTTGTATGTCCTTTTACTCTGTAGGGCGGAGCAGACATTTGAACTCAGGGAGCAGAGGCAAACAGGATCACCCAGCAGCCTACGCAGAGAACCAGGGTCAGGCAGCCCAGCTGGTGTCGGGGTGAGGAACAACACTGCACATAATGCTGCGAAAACCTCTTGGCCACTTGTGAAAATTTCCAATTTACACATGCAAATTCCTTATGTCTCTTAACGAGGTAATCTGTCAGCTTAAAATGACTAGGAAAGATGAGCTTACTGGTGCTTCTGCTGCATGTGTGGCTGACATTCAAGCAGACTGGTGGGCCGATCACATTTCTTACTAATTCTTTGGTTAAAAAAGGCCCACAGTTCTTGTTTTCCATGTAATAAGGGGTCTGATTACCTCACTATTTCTCAGCATAACTACTATGGTTCATCTAACACGCAAGAGATTAACAGCACTAGGCCAGTCAAAGTTTTCCACGAGTCATGGTGGCAAGTACCAATCTTTCACTTTTTCATTTTCCTACAGAACTAATTAAAGATTAATCATTGTTACTGTATGTAAGAACTTCTTGCTAACCACACAGGTTTTCACTTGTCTGTCATTAGCTTCCCACTGCCACTCAGGTACCGTGTGGTCTCAGGACGCATGCTCGAGCACTGATGATGCTCCTTTACTCCATTTTCTGACCAGGCAGCACAACAGGTAAAGGAGAGTCAGTTTAATATCTACTGTTCTTAAGGTGGTGTGTTGTACAGTGTTCCAGTGTTGTAAATATTTTGGAGTTCTTTGGTTTTTGAAAATTCTAATTCCACTTTTTCCCCAGAGAATTAAAAGAAACGGCAGAAGTTTCCAAGGAGCAGTCACTACCGACATTTACCCAGGTTTCCTCACAGGGTGCACGTGCCTCCGTGCATGGTTATACACAAGTATGCAGGCACAGCACGAGCATGCTGACAGTGCTCGATGCCACATGTTCTATTTATAGCTCTACAGACCAAGAAAAACACAATATTGCCTTATTTAAGGGCGTTAGCTCACATTCTAAATTAAACTCAAATGCCAGTAAGCAGGTAAGGTTCATCTTAGGGCAATTTTCAAGATGCTTCTTATAACGACAGGGAATTATACATGATTATACATGGTCATAAGAAAAACAATCCCCCTGAAAATGCTGTATGCAAAATTCACAGTGAATATTGATGTTTTATTTGAAGTGGAATTAAATATAGAACTGGACAAAATTCAGTATTCCAATGACAACTCCTTTTGTTCCTAAGGACACAGAACAGTCTTTCATTCCGGTATCATGTACTAGGAACTTCAAGACATACACTTAAAAAATTCTGTAGATAGCCCCAAGTTATGCTAAATGACCAAAGCTGTTTTACTGCCCATAGATTCTATAGTTTTATTATTAATAACACTAACATTCAGGTGTTATAGTAGTCTAAAACCAGTAGCATTTTAATGTTCAAATACTTTTTTCCTTTGGTCATTAAACAAAGTAAGGCACTTTTACCAGTGAAAGCTAAAACTAATAGGAAAGAAAGGACCATTCAGATTCTATTCACATTCTTTCTCTGCAGAGCTGATGGTGTCTTTATCCCATCTTTCACCACACTCAGTGTTGCAGTAACACCACAGCTCTGCCAGCCTGGGGCAGCTAGAGACTGTCAACTCATGGTTGACCTGAAGAGCCTATTTGCTAACTGTGGCTTGTGCTTCTTATATTGTATCTAAACTTAAGTCTTGGTACTTGCTGAACACAGGTGGATTTAGGCAGGGACCACACTGTCCTGAAGGCCAGCCAGTAAGGATAAACACTAAATAGTTGCACACACCTGAAGCTGAAATCCTGAAAACGCACCAACTACTGCATGAAGCTGTGCACTGTTGTCTCGCACATGACAACAGGACTGAAACCTGTTGCAGCATGTACGTAACATTTTCCCTTTCTCCTGCTCTGCTTTCCTCCCTTCTCCCCAAAAAACCCCACACAAATCTTGCCGTTCTTGTCACCTGCCGTACCTATAGCTCGCACCATGTTTTCATGAAAAAACAAAACCCCACAAACCTCCAGGTGCAGCTCTAAGTGCAACAGATATTGGTGATGGGTTAAACTCTCAGCGACTGTTATGGCTCATTTATTTATTAATCCTATACATCAGTCATAATGATTCAAGGGCATATTGATTCAGAGCAGTTCTTTTCAGATTCTCTTTATCAAAGCATTAGCGAGATAATTTAAAGTGCTATTTGGCAAGGGAGTGGGGAAAAAACGCCAGTCCTGAGAGTCTCAAGATCAGAGCTCTGCCTAAGAGTTTCCCCGGTGTTACACCAACGCTTCACTGTTTGCACGCTCCTTCTAGCACCGGCAGTGGTTCTGACACCGTGCTTGTGGTGAAATGATAGCAGTTTTAACTGCTGTGTTTTCTGATCCTGTTCCGTTGTGTTTTGTGGCATTATACTACTGCTGTCTAGAAAACACAGCTTTTCTCTGCTAGTTGATCAGACATCAAGTTTTGAGCATCCCTGAATGGACAAGGCCGAACAATGAACATGCAGAAGTCAGAACCAAGCATCTCAAATGCTAAATTTTAAATTATTTCAGCTCTTTTGAAATAAAACAACCACATTTCAGACTAATCCAGAAGAAAAGCTATAATGTAAAAAGGATTCTACTGTGGCAAGATTTTCCCTTCATGCAAGTCCTCAGCAACACACAACACAGCATCACCTACTTCAGAGAAGCTTAAGACAATCGGGCTGTTAGCAGAATTCTCCCAAGTAGTAAGCAGGTTTTTCCACCCCATCTCCTAGCCTCCCCACACACACACTTGTTAAAGCATTAAATGGCAAATGTCAGAAAGTAAAAAGAGTCTACAGATAACAAAAAACACAGTAATTTTTTTTTTAATTCTAGTTTGTGCAAAAATGGGACTGTCCCTCTATGGAATACGATATATTTCAGAAACTTGTTACACAACTGCGATACCTGTAGCCAATCCTACTCATGTTTTCCCTCTCTTTTCTGTATTTTATTTTATACCAGACAGAGATAGTTCAGATTTCACAACTCTCAGTCATGTTGGGAAAAAAGTTGGTGACCGCACAGAAGCGAGGGGAGACAAGAGCCCTGTGCTTGGGGCTGGGAATGGTCGCGTGCTCCATGATGATGTACTTTTTTATTGGGATCACCATTGTGCCGTTCTACACGAAAAGGTAATAACAGCCATTTGTTTATCAATACAAAGCTATTTCTTTTTCCTGTCAGCATCAAATACAATTATTAAAATAGTGCAGAATTATGTTAGTATGTTGTACAACAAATAAACAACATATGCTTGAAGAGCTCATAAGAATTTAAGACGGGAAAAAAGAGAAAGAAACAAGTGAGCCAAGAAGTCATCTGGCATTTACAGGTAAGCATAAGAAAGCGGGAATTATAATTTTCAGAGCTAGAAGGAGAACAAACTAAAACAAAACATGAAAACATGTTATGAAACTAGTTATTTTTACTATGAAAACATGTAAAATAAAAAAATGCTTATCAAAGCTTGATAATGGAAAGCTAAGTCTTGCGTAAATGGAAAAAAAAAAGCTTTTCCATGTGCAGGACGGTGTGTTGTTTTTAGTAAAACTATAAAAACTTGATCAACAGAAGTCATGGTAAAATTGTTCAGTTGAGAATATATATCTTACTTCCAAATCAACCATCATGAGAAGCAAGCACCTTCAACAGCACAGACTACCACAGCAAATGTTGGAGAATACAACAAACGCTGAAGAAATTATTATTACCCACATTTTTATTTCATTTTGCAAATTCTACCTCCACACACAAGATCAACTTGCAAAAAAAAGTAGCAAGACTAAGACTGCAGGTCAGTTTTTCATGCTTGAAGATTTTGATAGAGAAAGCAAGTACATCCACCTCATTCTTCTTTCTAAGAACACCTTTAAACTCAAAAATATTTGAAAAACATTATCTTTAAAAACAGAGTAATTAGCTTTTATTTATTTTCCAGCCTCCTGATTACAAGACATCTGCATGTAAAAAGATTAGTTTCTTAAGAACTAGGGTGAAACTATTTCTTTATTTTTTCCCACGAAAGTGTACTGCTGTAAGCAAAAACGTACTATGTTATTAGTAGTAAAAGAGTAATTTTTGAGAAAAACGAATGAGTAACAGTAACATGTCTGTTTTGCCAGACAAAATCCTACTATTTATTAATGCAAAAAGTCCATGTAATAAAAAAAGGTGGGGGGAAAACATGGAAAATTATTTTAATTCTGAGACTTATTGAATTAGTCAAAATATTTCTGAGGCATCAAGTGTACTGCATTTCCAAATATTTCCTACCAAACATTAAAACCCATAGCCATTTTTCTTTCTTGAATAATACTTGACACTGGTTACAGAGGAGGTTAGAATCTGACTTCAAAGCACAGAATGCATAACACACAAGAGCAAAAATGCTTCCCTGCACTGCTTTCCTATGGCAGCCCTTCTCCAGGTGCAGCCATCGATTTGGGGCGGGCGAAGTGTACCGCATCAGGACTGAGCAGCCGTGACCTCCACCCATGCCACCACTTGCAGCTGGCACACACACATGCATCTCCAGCATGCAACTCATAACGATGCTGCTAATGCATTTTAAAGCAATATCTTTTGTGTTGTTTTTGCAGTGTTTGGACAACAGAAACTGTGTGCAAGGTTCTCAAAGCCAACATTCAGGACAAAGCTCCCTGTCCAAACAGCGAAGGCTCAGAGGATGAGGATATCTTTCCGTATCCCTGTCTACAGGTGTGGGTTAATCTGACAACCTCAGGACAAGAGGTTATGCTGTATCAGACTGAAGATACACTGGAAAGAAATCCTAAGGTACTTGCAACACAGATCGAATAATCACTCTCTGCTGCTATCTAACACCTATAAGGAGAAGAGGTGTTTTTTTTAAACCAAGCAGCAGAGTAAGAGTAGGAGTAGTTCATCTTTTACATGTTAATGTCTGTGCTTAGACCAAGGCATTTTTAAAATATTCCAGAAATTACACAGTTGAGGATTTTATTTTAAACATGACATCAAACATTAAGTTAATACTTGTTAAGGAATTACACCAACTAAACATGAATATTTAACATTCATGAAAATTTAAAAATATGTAAGTCTCCAAGTTGAAGACCAATGGTAGGAAATAGTTTGTAAGATGTGGTTTGCTCAGTTGCTTGTTGAATTATCACAGGAGAGACCTGAAGTTAAAAACCATCCAAAGTAAGAGCACAAATGCCAATTTTACTTCCATTTTAGGTGTGTGAAATGAAGCACGGAATAAAGTAAGTTGAGAAAGGGGAAGTGAGGGTGCTGTTGGGAACAAGATGCACATTTTAGACAGAAACAAGAAACAAATCAGTGATTTTGGAAGATGATCACCCAGAAAACTCACTTGTCTCTTGTTTGGTCTGCAACTGTTTCTGGCCAGCATGGCAGCAGAAACCAGGACTCATGGAGAGGGCAGTGGCGCTGTAGGAAACGCCTGTGTAACGCAGAGACACGGGGTATTGCGGTAGACATCCTTTGGTCAGTCGTTTTAGGGATGTCTTCCCCAAGGGTGAGTGCAGACCATGGGTGGAACAGAAATGTGGGCATGCAGCATTCATTTGGCTTTAGAGGTGTGTGAAAGATTAGGAAAGGGGAAAAAGTAGGGTGTTACCCTTTTGTTCCTGCCAGCGTTTCTGCTTGGGAATCAGCAGAGCGCTCAAAATTTTTAGGCTTGCTCTCCCACAACCAGAAGTGCTCCTACAGGTATGCTGCCCAAGGAAGGTCAGGTTCGGTTCAGTTCCAAAACCATGAGTATTTCAGAGGCCTTATTCCAGCTCACCACTCTCTAAAGGGACATAAAGTGAAATTCAGATCTTTGATGCCCAAGGCTGAAGCAGTTTGAGAACCCAAAACAAACAAGTGTTCATCATCTTAAAGAAATTATACAGATTAGTTTCACACAGTGCAAACCTGATAGCATAAAACACTTAAGCTGAAGATAATTTTGCCGATCTTTATAGGCATAGACCATCTATCGCAGGGAAAGCTACATACAAAGTAGCAATGCAGAAAATATCCGCTGTAGATTGAAAAAAGTGTCGTTTTCCACAAGAGTAGATGATATGCTGATTTCCTACCCACTGTTTGCATTACTGCAAGTACAAGCCTTTAGGTCAAGATCCATCCCCTTTCTGCTTTCGCCAGTTTTCAGCTTAAGGCACCTAAGCACTATTATGTGTGCAAAATAATGTTGCAGAAAAGAAACTGCTATGAACATCCAAAAAAAAAAGATAATGAAAGAGTGCTTCAAAGTCTAACAGTATTTCCACTGAAGACTAAATATGCATTACTACTACAGGTCAAAATAGTTCTGTGTTAGGAGGACAAGTAGGAAGCTTCCAACAGCCAGGCTTTCCTCTTATTTTTCTAATAGTTATAACCAGAGGTGCACAATGAAGCAACTTTGTTTTCCTGCACAGTGACAAGCCAGTTGTAAACTTCTGCATTGTGGTGTGCCATTTCTGCTGTGGTGGTGCTGCCTAGAAGCTCTGTTAGGAATCCAAGCTTGGCACTGTAATAATAAAGTGACAGTCTCAAAGACTGCAGTTTTATTTCAAGCACGTATGCATTATTGGTTTCCAACAACATTACTCCAATCTGTAAGTCTGCCGACTGGGGGCACAGACACACTGACAGAAACAGGGAAGCATGGCAAATGGGTTATGGACATAAGGAAACCAAGATAATCTCAAGGAATACCAGCTAAACCACACCATTCTTTGTCAGTACTAGCATGTTTATTTTACTGACTTGACTACAAACCTTGTATTAGAGTATTCATTGTAACGAATCACCTTGATTTCTTATTCCAGTGCTCATATGTCCCAGGCAAGTCGGAGAATTCTAAAGAAGTTAAAGCACGTATAGAAACAATTGCAAGCAATTTCAAAAAATACCAGACTTTCCCATGCTACTATGACCCAGGAGGAACGCAGACCAATGTCATTTTAAGCAGACTTTATGACCCCAAAGGCCTCCTCTTTGCTTTCCTTTGGCCTACACTCATGTTTACTGGTGGATGTCTGATTATTGTTCTGGTAAAAATTAGTCAGTATGTTTCTGTTCTTTCTGCTTGGCAGTAGAAAATAGATATCTAGCATAGATTGTTGCAAGATATTAAAATGCCTTTGTTCTGCCTGTCTTTATCTGCACTTTGTAGCTTTTAATATACCAGGTGTCAGTCCAAGGGCAGGCATTCCAAAAAACTGAATTGCACCCACTATGGATAGCAATCTATTACATGAGGACAAAATATAAAATTGATTCCCAGGAATGCCTGAAAAGACCTCATAAAAATAAAGAGTGAGTTACTATCTCTTGTTTCCTTGGGCTTTCTGAGGTACAGTTGCTATACAGAGCTACAATTCAAGTTTACTACTAAACTCTTGTTCCACATTTTAAACAGGGTCCTAAATTTTCTGTCTGGTTGAGACCGTTTGGCGACATGTCCATATACATCATTACTGGCAGATACACATTACCAATACAGTATGTATTCATGGCAGACTCTTCTTGTCTGTTGAGAAAATAAGTTTTGTTATGGTCTAAGGCGGTATTTGTAGTCATTGATCTCTGCTTTATGTGAAAGAAGAGGGGGGAAAAACCACCCGAACCCCAAAAATATACATATATATACACACACAGATATTACAAAGTTTGCACTCTAAACATCTAACAACAATTGCATATAATGAAATATATGCATAAAGTATAGGGTATAGTAAAGAAGATTATACTAGAAGTAAGTCTTTGTATTTAACTCAAATCTTAGCCTTGCTTTACTTTGAAACAAGTGTACCACTCAAGGAAGGCTTGAGTGCCTTGACCTGCCTGCCATTTGCATATATTACAAAACTGTTAAGGAAAGGAAGTCACGACATAAAGAATATGATTATGTGGTAGAAAACATCCATGACGTCTTACTAAATACAGTAATCTAATAACCACAGAACTCTGCATTCTTAGCACAAAGATATTTCACAAGAGAGAGATGTGTTTGTTTCTAATGCCAAGACTCTTAGGAATGCTCTGATGCACATATAGACATATTTTCTGTTCTCTGAAAATAACTGTTTCTCTCAGCCAATTTTCAAGTTGCTACTGGACCCAAGAGGAACACAAGATACTTCCTGCATGCTGTATTTGACTGGCAATCGGGACTCAACTAGTACAAGCATTTTCATCATACAGCTCATGAACCACTCAGTAGCTATCATTCACAGGAAAATTTCAGGGCTTAGATACAAATATAAATTCATTAACTGTAGTGGAAAAAAGTTATTCTCATTAACATGATACAATTCTCTATTGTTTATTGTAAGAAAGAAGGTGGCTGAAATATTAATCCATTATGTGCATTTTCCAACATTACTAATGGAACAGTGTCAAAGTTTGCTCTTCATCATGATAAGCAAATCAAAATTAGACCAGGATAGTAAAAAAAAAAAAAGCAGTTACTAACATCAGCACACTCATTCAACATGCAAAATCTAGATCGTTATCTGTTAGAAATCCACAATAGGAAAAATTACCTGCTCTAGTACTTAAGATTCAGACAACATGTCAAAAGAAAAAAATAAAGAACCAAAACCCAAAAATGAATATAGGACGAGAATTATTTCCATAAAAAGGAGGAAAGTATTTACATCTTCATACAACACTTCCATGAAATGCATCTGAGGCTGTGTGTATACATCTTTGTCATTCAGGAAAGTGAAAGTCCAGCTGGTACAGGTACAGGCATTTTGCCAACAGGATGGGAAGGGGAAGAGATCCTGTTTTGTTAGTTCACCAAAAGCTGAGGCAGGAGTACAGTAACTGCTTAAAAATATAGTAATCAGACGGGGAGGATGCTTGTTGGAGCTCGTGCACTGTACTGGTACCAAACAAGGTGAACAAACGAGCTGTAAAGAGGTTTAGTTAATAGACTCTTGCAAAGCTTTACCCCAAATTTCTCTTTTCAGCAGTTTAAAGAGAGTCTCTTCAGTTTGCAAACTAAAACTTGCTCATAACTACTTTACACTCATTCCAGCAAATCAGTGGCCCCACCACCTTGCTCCCCTCACAGCTCCTCAGAGATGAATGAGGGCTGGATGTTGGGATGTTGCTGTTCCTTCTAGTGATTGTCCCCATTGCCCCCCTCACTCATGAACCAGTAACTTGTCTCTGAAGAGCAAAAGCTCTTGATCTTGCTGAGCTCAGAGCTCAGCATGAAGCATGAAGACCAGGAGCTCCTGCTTCCAACACCCACCTTGGCTTCCTAAGACCACCCCCTAACGCCACATCTTCCTCACCTCCCTGCTCCTAGTTATCCCTGATAGCAGTAGATGACAATTTATTCAGCGTGCAAGCTGTGTCTCCAGATTTACCTCTACCAAAAATAAAATGATTATTACATGAAAATAGTTATTTCCTTCCAACATGTACACATTGCAAGTACCTGAAGAAAAAGCTCACAAAAATTTTTTTCTCCAATAAAGTAGTATTTCCTATTTGAGTAGGAGTTATTCCAAGTGAAAACAGCTGGTGCAGGGGCAAAAACCACACAAAAATTAGGAAACTCCATTGTTTTGCACTCTGGCCAAACTCAGCTTCCTCTTTTGCCCAAATGAAACAGGGGATTTAAATGCAAAAAGCCAAATATTCTAATGTAGAAAACACATACAAAATGTATAAGCACTACAGAAGTCTGTTCCTGTTTTTAAATAATGGTTTCCCCATGTATATAGTGCTGATTATTTTCAACATTTCTCAGAAAGTTTAACGTTAAAGTCAGAGATATTCTTTTTCCTTCACACTTTCACTTTTTCTTAAAGTCAAAGCTAAGTGTTTTAACAGTGCACAAGGTTGCTGAATTACTGTTGAGCTTTTGTAAATATTTTTTGATTCTTCCATCTGCAAAAGTTGTAATTCACTAGAGAATGAAGTTTTAATAACACTTTCTATGCTTCTTACAGCAGCACACAAGGAAGCTATAGAGTCTTTAGGGGGGTTTGGTTGGGTTTGTTTTTTTTAAATTATTGGATTATACCATCAAGTCTACAATAAATTTTATAAATAAAATGCTATTTTTCTGAGATCCAGCAAAACACTTCCTTTGAGAAGTGCTTTGATACAAGCAGTGACCATTGCAGTGACAGATGTACACAACTCATTTTCTCAAGGCAGAGTAGATGATCAAGTTATGTATTACAGCATTAAAACTCCTGCCAGGGGAAGAGAAGTGGCAGTACAAGCAGCTGAAGATAAAATGCATACTTGCAATCTGTTTGACTATACATAGCTATTCCCTATATGAGGGAATTAGCATTTCTCCAAGGCGCAAAAAACACAAACAAACAACAAAACCCCAATTGCAAAAGGTTGTAAAAGAAAGCTTATCCCATAAATGGGAAGTTATTTTTTCCTGGATGAAGTAGATTCAGCTTTCCTCAGCTTTTAATAAGATCACCTTTCTCTAACTTTGACGAGGCAGCAACAATGGCAGCTTAAGAGGAACCTATGGGACACTGATTTGCTAAGAAGCCACCTGTGAGTCACCAGCATGTTCTTAATGTACACAGACTACAGCAGGTACCTTCTGGCTACCTCTGACAATTTTGATTTAAGTACCCCACTAACTTGTGCTATTTTTATCACCTGATCCTCAAAGCAGAAACAGGGCAGTTAACATAGAGAAGGTTCTGGTCCCCAAAGATTCCTCACTCATTGCATAAACCCACTGCACTTGACAACAAAGTATCTTCCAACGGGGTAACTAGTACTTCGTTCTTAGTTTTTGGAGGGTTTCATTGTTTGGTTTGGGGGGGTGTGTGTTAATTTTTTAAATAAGGAAATGAGGAAAAACTTAACAAAACCACTTTGGGGTCTCTAGACTATTTACTGTTCAGAAGCCATAGAAAACAATTCAGATATTTTACTTTTGGCAATTTCCATAACAGAAAAAATAGCATGTAGGGTTAACCAGATGACTCCAAATTTACAAGCTGGCTTGAAGTTAGAAAAGATATTAATACAGGAAAAGTAATTATAAGTTATCCTTTGTTCACAACAAAAAGGGTTGGTGGCTGCCCCACAGGGTGTAGGCCAACCATACAAACCCCACGCAAGAAACAAGTTTGGTGTATAAGCACACAGCTGTTCTCGGTCAGGAGGCAAAACTGGGAATTATCTCGTCAGTTCCTCAGAAGCTCAAGGGCACAAGGGGAACATCAGAGGATCTGCAGAGCAAACTGCAGTTTTCTTTCCCCCCCTAAAGTATGTGTAAACAGCAAAAATGCTAAAAATGCATGTAGGGATTTTTGTTGCTGCTGTTTAGGTCTCCTGGAGCAAGGTTTCTTTTGCTGTGCTGCTACAAGACTTAAGTGTCAGCTTTGATGAATGTAAATTATACTGGGGAGTTGCAACATTAGATGTTTTTCTCCTTGCTGACCTCACTTCTCCACACTCTGAAGAGCATTAACAGAAAGGAAAAAGATAGCAAAGATCAGATAGAGGTAGCTATACTCAACTTCTACATAAAGTAGTCAGTGAAATACAATTTATAAGGACGTGTCTATTTATTACGATGCTCCACTAGAAGAAATAGCAATGAAAAAAAAAGTTGAAGGGCTGACAAGCTGTTCTTTCAAAGCTTCCTAAAAATATCTGTACAACTCTTAAATAAATATAAGTAGTCTCATTACGCCCTGCACTACTTTCCCTAGAAGTGTCATGACTTTGCACAGAAATTAAGCTGTCATATGGGTAAAAACACTCAGACTGCCGTACCCAAACCAGCACAAGTATGTTCCCTTTTCTCTTTGACCACATACCTCTACCTATAGTAAATCCAAAAATCTGGTGTTATCTGTGCTAGATACACATTACTGCAATTGCCTTATCTAGGAAAACAAACTTTTTAAAGATGTACTTTCTACTTCTTACCTCTTACAATTCCAGGCAGATTTTCAGAGAGTCTCAGCTTGCTAACCAAGTTATCCTGCATTCAGCACCAAGAGCAAGTAAGGAAAGCACCTGAAAATACTTCAACTTCAGCAAAAAGATAACACAAGATTGCTATCGCAGATGGGGGGCAGAGGAGAGAGTTATTTGTAAGGCTCCATCTCTTCAGTGAAGTATTTGTACCACATTTGGAACA